GCAAACATTTGTCCCGTTGTCGATAGCGTAACAGAGTCTACACACGTCTGGCCTTGCATGTGGAATTAAAAGTGTAAGAATGTCATGGCCTTTACTCACCAGTCAAATATCACTTTAAAATTGCGAAGTTCAGTAGCAGCTTTGGCGGCAGAAAGCTTATGGTATTCATAAAAGTTCTCACCATAACTAGACTCAATCTGAATAATTTTAGCTAAATAACAATCTATTCCTCACTACGTTGAGGAAAAAAACCCTACACGTTACGTCCCTACTTTCAATTATTTTTCCCTGTTTGTGTTGTTAGAATTCATATAATTTCTTAGTTCCTTTACAAATTCTATTAAATTTACGATAAAATGTGGAAGTTCATTAGGCGAATGACTGGTAATATTTTGTTGTAAATTTGGCTAGCCTTCCTGGTCTTTATTCGACATTTCTTCAGGTTCGATAACTGGTTTGAGATTATCCAAACAAATTTGTTGTAACACTGTTTTACTTCATTGAACTAAATAAATGTTATGTGGTTCTTCCTTGAATTTTTGCACTGACCAAGTCGAACAGTCACTTTCTTGTCCGTAAAAGAATTAAAATGTTAAATAATAAACTTTAGATATAATGTCTGAATAAAAGCCAACGAAAAATCTTACGAGGCGATGGATCATATAAATATGATACAGTACACTACAAAATATAATATATAATAAGCAAGTATAAAAGGGTACAACATCACCAAAAAATAATAAAATCATGAACAAATATTAAATATTTCAGACAATTAATATCCTTCCAGTAAGATGTCAAATGATTCTTATCTTGACATGTGGTAGTCGAACTGAAATGGTAATCTTGAACGTTATACAAATTGTCACGAATCAATACCCTGGTAATTTTTTTCAAATTTGATGTTTGATGAATAAATTCCTTAAAACTGTGAGAGTCCTGTACTGAAGCCTGAGTTACAGGAAACAAGTGATGGTAGGAACTCATTTTATGTTTCTTCATTAATGCCCTCTGGGGAAACTGTCCTTAACTTTCTTATCCAAAAACTTTCCCGAGAAAGTCTGTCGGCCCTTGACCAACCCTCGTTGTGGTCAATGATAGTGATGGTAAGGTTTTTGAGATCAGTTTGGGCGTGCCAAGGTGATCTCAAATGACGACTTACGGGTATATTATATATATATATATATATATATATATATATATATATATATATATATACAAGTCTAAATTGAAAACAATCAAACCTATGATTGCGTTGGATAAAAACCGCATTTTTTATACGTGTGCATGCATAACAAATTTCTTGGTAGAGTGGTCTAAATACAGCACAAACAAAATTTTCCAAAAGACCAAAAAAGTGAAAAAGTATATTTTAACAAAACGCATTTGACTAGCAGGTCGAACAACGGATGTTCTTAAACCCTGCTGACTGCCATGGCGATTGCCAAATAAACAGATCACCAGATGTAAAAATGGATCTTAATTTATTAATAATATACCAAACAGAAAACAATAAACATGCGGAAAAGATGGTATACCGCAAATATAAGGTGCAAAAATTTGTACACCATATCCGGATTTCGACAATAAATGTCTCTTCAGTGATGTTAGGAATCGAAACGGTATTTGGAAGGCCATATAATTTACCTCAATTTGGGATTGAATCTTGAATTTTGAAGAGTCAAAATAGGATGAACGGATCATATAAACCCGAAGGCAAATATAATACAAGCCCAAACAAAAAAATATAAACAAGTCTAAATTGAAAACAATGTTCAAACCTATGATTGCGTTGGATAAAAACCGCAATTTTTATACGTGTGCATGCAAAACAAATTTCTTGGTAGAGTGGTCTAAATACAGCACAAACAACATTTTCCAAAAGACCAAAAAAGTGAAAAAGTATATTTTAACAAAACGCATTTGACTAGCAGGTCGAACAACGGATGTTCTTAAACCCTGCTGACTGCCATGGCGATTGCCAAATAAACAGATCACCAGATGTAAAAATGGATCTTAATTTATTAATAATATACCAAACAGAAAACAATAAACATGCGGAAAAGATGGTATACCGCAAATATAAGGTGCAAAAATTTGTACACCATATCCGGATTTCGACAATAAATGTCTCTTCAGTGATGTTAGGAATCGAAACGGTATTTGGAAGGCAATTTACCTCAATTTGGGATTGACTCTTGAATTTTGAAGAGTCAAAATATGATGAACGGATCATATAAACCCGAAGGCAAATATAATACAAGCCCAAACAAAAAAATATAAACAAGTCTAAATTGAAAACAACGTTCAAACCTATGATTGCGTTGGATAAAAACCGCAATTTTTATACGTGTGCATGCAAAAGAAATTTCTTGGTAGAGTGGTCTAAATACAGCACAAACAACATTTTCCAAAAGACCAAAAAAGTGAAAAAGTATATTTTAACAAAACGCATCTGACTAGCAGGTCGAACAACGGATGTTCTTAAACCCTGCTGACTGCCATGGCGATTGCCAAATAAACAGATCACCAGATGTAAAAATGGATCTTAATTTATTAATAATATACCAAACAGAAAACAACAAACATGCGGAAAAGATGGTATACCGCAAATATAAGGTGCAAAAACTTGTACACCATATCCGGATTTCGACAATAAATGTCTCTTCAGTGATGTTAGGAATCGAAACGGTATTTGAAAGGCCATATAATTTACCTCAATTTGGGATTGAATCTTGAATTTTGAAGAGTCAAAATAGGATGAACGGATCATATAAACCCGAATGCAAATATAATACAAGCCCAAACAAAAAAATATAAACAAGTCTAAATTGAAAACAACGTTCATACCTATGATTGCTTTGGATAAAAACCGCAATTTTTATACGTGTGCATGCAAAACAAATTTCTTGGTAGAGTGGTCTAAATACAGCACAAACAACATTTTCCAAAAGACCAAAAAAGTGAAAAAGTATATTTTAACAAAACGCATTTGACTAGCAGGTCGAACAACGGATGTTCTTAAACCCTGCTGACTGCCATGGCGATTACCAAATAAACAGATCACCAGATGTAAAAATGGATCTTAATTTATTAATAATATACCAAACAGAAAACAATAAACATGCGGAAAAGATGGTATACCGCAAATATAAGGTGCAAAAATTTGTACACCATATCCGGATTTCGACAATAAATGTCTCTTCAGTGATGTTAGGAATCGAAACGGTATTTGGAAGGCAATTTACCTCAATTTGGGATTGACTCTTGAATTTTGAAGAGTCAAAATAGGATGAACGGATCATATAAACCCGAAGGCAAATATAATACAAGCCCAAACAAAAAAATATAAACAAGTCTAAATTGAAAACAACGTTCAAACCTATGATTGCGTTGGATAAAAACCGCAATTTTTATACGTGTGCATGCAAAAGAAATTTCTTGGTAGAGTGGTCTAAATACAGCACAAACAACATTTTCCAAAAGACCAAAAAAGTGAAAAAGTATATTTTAACAAAACGCATCTGACTAGCAGGTCGAACAACGGATGTTCTTAAACCCTGCTGACTGCCATGGCGATTGCCAAATAAACAGATCACCAGATGTAAAAATGGATCTTAATTTATTAATAATATACCAAACAGAAAACAACAAACATGCGGAAAAGATGGTATACCGCAAATATAAGGTGCAAAAATTTGTACACCATATCCGGATTTCGACAATAAATGTCTCTTCAGTGATGTTAGGAATCGAAACGGTATTTGGAAGGCCATATAATTTACCTCAATTTGGGATTGAATCTTGAATTTTGAAGAGTCAAAATAGGATGAACGGATCATATAAACCCGAAGGCAAATATAATACAAGCCCAAACAAAAAATATAAACAAGTCTAAATTGAAAACAACGTTCATACCTATGATTGCTTTGGATAAAAACCGCAATTTTTATACGTGTGCATGCAAAACAAATTTCTTGGTAGAGTGGTCTAAATACAGCACAAACAACATTTTCCAAAAGACCAAAAAAGTGAAAAAGTATATTTTAACAAAACGCATTTGACTAGCAGGTCGAACAACGGATGTTCTTAAACCCTGCTGACTGTCATGGCGATTGCCAAATAAACAGATCACCAGATGTAAAAATGGATCTTAATTTATTAATAATATTCCAAACAGAAAACAATAAACATGCGGAAAAGATGGTATACCGCAAATATAAGGTGCAAAAATTTGTACACCATATCCGGATTTCGACAATAAATGTCTCTTCAGTGATGTTAGGAATCGAAACGGTATTTGGAAGGCCATATAATTTACCTCAATTTGGGATTGACTCTTGAATTTTGAAGAGTCAAAATATGATGAACGGATCATATAAACCCGAAGGCAAATATAATACAAGCCCAAACAAAAAAATATAAACAAGTCTATAAAGTGTGTTATATTAAATCCCAGTGCAAAGATATGAAGAATAATTTTGGTTAGACAAGACTGCTAAAAACTGAACGAAACAAGAAGACTGGGCATTATCTATCAAAATAATTTTCCATAGTAATTATTTTTACGGCTATAATCTGACCGCTAAGCTATAAATTCCTGAAGAGACACCCGAAAGTCGTTATAGATCATAAAGAGAAGACGACACAATCAACTGAGCAATAAAACGCAGCTGTCGAAACAATTATTAACCAAATTGTATGCTATATATACAAATAATTAAACATTTGTAAAAATGTTAAGCTGCAGCTCCGATTTACAGGTTTTCCTAAATTTCTTTTCTCTTACTGTTTAGTATCATTTTGGGAAATAAATCTCGAAAATTACACTTGGAGAGTCAAGATTGTTTTAGTATCTTGGTATTCTCTACTGTTTATATATATTGTTTGAGAGTTTAAAACACACACACAAAACTTTTTAATATTGTTCAATTAGGTTTTGTAATAGAATTAGATTGAACATTAAACGTCGTAAGTAATCATATCTGTTTTATTTTTAGCAGTGTCGTGTCTATTCCAGTCATGCCAAAATGATGGCGACTGTGTCAACGATAAATGTCAATGTAAACCGAACTATGCTGGAGATCATTGTCAGAGTAAGTATAAATGCATACTTTAGAGTTACCATACATTTCAGTATAGAAGATTCATCTTCGGCTAATGTATCACATATGTTATTTTGTAGATCTGACAAATGTATGAAAATGGGTCAATATTTTACTGTTATGAATTATTTGCATGCTACTTGATGCTGCAAATATTATACACCTTCACATACAAGTGTTGTTTAAAATTGTTGTTCATATATACAAACCAATGCGAGCACTTAGATCTGAAAATGCCATGATTTAACAACGCCACGTGTGAGAACTAAAACATATGGGGAAAGAAGATTCGAAAAAGCGGCAGCCGTTCTGTGGAATGATTTGCCAAGTGATCTACGAAACATCCATTCTGTGAACGTTTTTAAGAAAAACATGGAAACTCATTTATTCAGAAATGCTTTTTCATATTTCTTAAAATATTTTTATAGCATTGTTATCTTTGAATTTTTAAGTAAATATTTTTGAATTTTTAAGTAAAAAATTTTGAATTTTTAAGTAAATATTTTTGAATTTTTAAGTTAAATTTTTTGAATTTCTAAGTAAATACTTTTGAATGTTTAAGTATATATTTTTGAATTTTTAACTTACTTTTATTTGTACGGTTTTATTGTTTCCTTAATTTTACCATGCCCATTTTATATAAATGTTATTGTTTATCAGTAAATTTAATAGTATAGTTTTATATGCAATATATTTTAAATCAGTTTTTTTTAGGATTTTATATCATGGGCTTTCATATTTTATTGTTAATACTTATATATGTGAATGGATATATGTTGTAAAGCGCTTAGGGTAATTTTAATATTATATAATGCGCTGTTATAAACACTGTATAATAATAATAATAAATAATAATAATACATACTGCATGTATTTATATTCATAAACAAAATAAGGTACATCTTGTTGTGATATGACTCGTATTGAGTTAAATATCCAGGTTTCAATTTTACATTCGAGTGAGCATATTTAAGGATATTTGTTATACTTAATTGTTTCTTATCATTATATACGTTTTACAATATCACTCATAATAACTTATGCTAAATAATAGGCAATTTTAAATATAAGCATCATGTTACGACAAAAAAAACATATATGCCTGTTTCCTGTCCTCATTCATTATGAAATAGGGTCGGTCGGTTGGGATTTTTGTTATTTTTTGCGTATCAACAGAATCCGGAAAATGTTCATGATTTTCTTCGAGTTTGATACCGTTGAATACTTAAGGATCCGGTAATTTGGGCATGCATGTTGATACGTTTATAATTTTTAATGGTTTGACAAGTTCAGCACTCAATATGCGTCGATCTTATTTCAAATTTGAATGAATAATCCAGGAATTTTTTGTCAAATAAGACGACTCACAACGTTTTTTAATGAAAATGACAGGGAATACAAAATTTTATTGTCTGCGATCAAAACTAGGTTCGGACGGGATGCAGGAAACCAGCATATATTTGTTTTACCAAAACACCATGATGAAAAGCATCCCATAATAAGGGAATTGGTCGATCTACATCTTACATCATTCTATAAAATGACCGGTAGAAAATTCAAATGCCAGTGTTCATACGTAGAAGAGCTAACCATAACCCTTTGTACATTTCGAAAAAAAAAATATTCATACACCATCGTAAATGTTTTTAGAATTACCTTATACTTGTACATTTATTGTTGACAGAGGCGTATTCATTAAGTGGATGTTACTGGATTCTTTACACCGTTGAAACGAACCTCACCCTTGTTACTCCACTGGCTTGTGTGGAAGCATGCATCGCAATAGCTTTTGATTACGCTGGACTTGTGGTAATGTATACTTTATACATATCTATTTACATCACTGTATATATAGCACTTTGTATATTCATGGGAAAAATGTTAGTACAAACATGTTAAATGTTTAATGTCTTTAAAACTTTGTAAAGGCGAAAACATCATCTGTTCATCTGGTTTCTGTATGATTTGGATACGTTTCAATCTCAAATATCGATTGAAATTGCTTGGTGAGGTCGGACATATGTGTTTTCTTCTGATAAGATAGATTTTTTTGGTGATGAAAAAAAGAAAACTAAACCATTTTTACTTTACTATATGGTTGCAGTCTTTTCGTTCTTCAGTTAATGTTCACATAATTGTACGGAAGTGTATTAGCGCCACACAACTTTATTTTTTAATATTTCTTCCTATGTTTGCGTTATAACGCTAACCTTTGCGTTATATCGCAAACCTTTGCGAAATAACGCAAAAATTTGCGAAATAACGCAAACATTTGCATAATAACGCAAACCTTTGCATTGAAACGCAAACTTTTGCGAGATAACGCAAACATTTGTTTTATCGTATTTCTTATTTAAGATTCAAAGGAAGCAGCAGTTATAAATGGAGGAGGCTGCATATATTAAATGTATCCCCCTTTGTACTCATTGCAAAGTGAAATGCTTGAATACTTAGAACATATCATTGACTAATAATGAGTAGGATAATAGATATAAGAAGATGTGGTATGAATGTCAATGAGACAACTCTCCATCCAAGTCACAATTTCTAAAAGTAAACCATTATAGGTGAAAGTACGGTCTTCAATACGGAGCATTGGCCCATACCTAACAGCAAGCTATAAAGGGTCCCAAAAATTATATACAGTATAATACATGTATATATATTTTACAAAGAAAATTGAGTAAATTAAAGTTATATCGAAGATTATAAAAAAACAACTCTGCTAATACAGCTATAGCCAAATATAAATATACTTCCAAAGTAAGCTCTCGTTTGAGGATTGTGTAAGGTTGGTTAGATCCAAACAAGCTACCTTTTTGCAATAAAATGAAGATGTTTTATTATTAAAATTATGTTCTCTCCATTCAAATTTCTACCCAAGCATCTTAAAAGTTACTTCACTAGATTGAAATGAAAGTTCTATGACTTTCTATCTAAGAATCTTTATCATATTCTAAGATTTAAAAAAATGATTTCTTGCATCAAAATTTAAAAAAAATGTTTCTGTATTAATAATTCATTTAAAAGCAGAAAGATCATTTTGTCTATTTGACTTGCAAGTTTCACAATTGTATGACATTATTTTTGCTCTTTTAATTAAAATATGCCTATACCATATCTATTTTCTTGTTAAATTATATACTTTTCTGATGCACAAATCATTCTTAATTTATGTATAATGGCTCTTCAAGTATTCCCTTATTCCCATATATAGATATAAGAAGATGTGGTATGAGTGCCAATGAGACAACTCTCCATCCAAGTTACAATTTATAAAAGTAAACCATTATAGGTCAAGGTACGGCCTTCAACACGGAGCATTGGCTCACACCGAACAGCAAGCTATCAAGGGCCCCAAAAAAATACTAGTGTAAAACCAAACAAACGGAAAAACCAACGCATATTTATTATAATGATTTGGCCTTGTATTTATGATTCTTTTCTTATCTAAAATCACGACCGAAATAAATGACAGACGGACATATATACAAAACTTAATGAATAATTGAAATCAAGATGTTTGCGTTATAACGCAAAATATTTGCGTTATTTCGCAAAGGTTTGCGTTATAACGCATAGGTTTGCGTTATAACGCAAACATAGGAAGAAATATTAAAAACAAAGGTTATGTGACGCTAATACGCTTCCGTATAATTGATCAGTTTTGTAGATTTAATATAAATCATTGAAAATTCCACGCGTGAACTCGTAACAGCCAAAGACTTCATCTGTTGTGATCTTATTGATAGAGAAAAGTACTCGATTAAATTATCGATATTGCATTTATAAGGTATTTGTAACGACATGATTTAGAATTAGTTATTATTGAGGTTTTAAAACAAAATATCTGCTTTTAATTCGTACATCTCTAAATCCAATACTGCCAGATACTGAAAGTGTATGATATCTTGATATTCTGGTTCATAATATTTTAGGGTGGTTATATGTGTAAGTGTGGAACCACTATATCTGGCGGAATTCAGGCATCTACATGTAACGTCGACTGTAATGGAGATAGTGCTTATAAATGTGGAGGAGCAATGGAAATGTCTATATACCATATAGTATGAACACATATAAATGAATACAAAGATTTAGCTATCCACACTAATTAGAATACGTACATGTACTTGTAATATTGATTATTGTTTTGATTTAAAATTTTATCGAAGTTATATATGGACTACTTGGTATATTACTAGTATGTCGTTTTTATTAAATGTGAATGACGTCAGTAGTATATCTGTGTCAATGATAATTCAATTACACATTTTTAGTTATCGTGCTTTGGACGATAGAAGACTGAATACTGAAGATCCCTGCTGACTTATCGGAATTACACTGCATTTTTTTTATTAAATTCTATTTTCATTACGAAATGAATTCATCATAGATTCCAGATTTAAAACACTGTGTACGCTAGACGCACGTTTCGTCTACAAAAGACTCTCCAGTGACGCTCGAATAAAAAAAGTTAAAAAGTCCAAATAAAGTACGAAGTTGGAAAGCATTGAGGACCAAAAATTCCGAAAGGTTTGCCAAATACAGCTAAGGTAATCTATTACTGGGGTAGAAAATCCTTAGTATTTCGAATAATTCAAAGTTTTGTAAACAGTTAATTTTTAATAATTACCATATCAATGATTATTCATGTCACATAAATACCAACCAGCAGTAGCATTGACCCAGTGGTTATAAATAAACTCATCATAGATACCAGTTTTAAAACATTTGGACGCTAGACGCACGTTTCGTCTACAAAAGACTCATCAGTGACTCTCGAAGTTATGTTTACTCTTTTTATATCACAACTCATCATTGAGTATTTCAGTAATGAATTATTCGGCATGTCTGTTTCGTTTGCACTTTAAATGCAGGTACAATATATTGTTTCTACAAATAAAGTTGATAAATAAATTGTGATTTTTGATATGTTTTGATATCTGTCTATTCCTGTTTATCTTTTGGAAACAATAAGATGGTTATATGTTCCGTTAAGTGTGTTGTTAACATTAGTTGATTGAATGTTTAATGGGTTAGTATTATATACAATACAAAGGTAACAAAGAAACAGGCCTGTAACAACTGTTGCCGGATAGTTTTTCTGCACGAGTAGTCAGGTGAAGGTCCGAGGCGATAGCCGAGGATCTTGACCTGACTACAAGTGCAGAAGAACTATACTGCAGTTTGTTTCCGGCCTGTTTTTTTTTGTCACCTTTGCTTTGTATCTGACTTGTACGACGTTTCAAGAAAGAAGTAGTATATTTTGCATTTAGAAGAGGTAGCAAATTAAACAGATTAGAAACATAAATGGCCATATACCAGTTAATGTAAGTCACAGTTTAAACAAACGTTTTTTCACTTCCCTTCAGCCGAGGGTTTTTTCTCAAGAAATTCAAGAATCTAACGATTTTATAAAAAAGAACCATGTCCAGTAAAAGATTAATGTCGTACACATTTGAGACTTTTTAAAATGCAACTTCGCAAGATTTCAGAGGTAAGCAAGCTAACATTTGATTTTTATTTGGGGAAAAAACGGAAAGGAGAGGGGGGTTAAAATAAATTTAAGATACCGGTTTGATCCGTTTTTTTTTTTGAAAAAATGCAGGATGTGCAATTCCATTCCCCAATTCCCCCTTAAAAAAATAATAAAAATCGTACGTTTGCACCCAAATATATGAATTCAATATACATGAATTCAATAACAATATAAATGTATCAAACGAATGAACTTCCTATTTCATTAGTGAATGAGATGTTATGAAAAATGGATTTTGTCTTGTTATTAGATATCTATAGGTACATATTTTGGCTTTTTGAAAAAATTTATATGTCTCTGATAGTGTTGATCAGGATTGAACATGTGTCACAATATGATCCAATCGCAGCTTACCGTCCAAAATTGTTGACATAAGTTGAACGATTTTCTTCAAGATTTGCAGCCTATTTGAACATGTATTTCACGGACACTTTTTATTTATAGGATCAATCGTGCATTGATGAGTTGATAGGGATTTTATCTATTGATTAGATTTGATTTTTTTATATATATTGCCTGTCTTTTTTATTGAAATATAAACGTCGGTACCAGCATTTCTTTACTTTCAGCATTGTCCAAAATACTGTTCATGTCCATATATTGAAAAGAATACATTTACGAACCGACCATTTAGATATGATATGAATAGTAATATACTGGATTATAGTTATTGATGCCAACGTAAACATTTTAATAAAAAAAAGACAGGAAATATGTCGGTGAAACAAAAAGTTCAAATGTAATTGAAATTTAAAGTGCCCATGAACCCACTGATCATGCACGAGTGATTCTAATCATAAAAAATGTCCGTGCAACTACTGTAAATTCAGAAATTATTGCGTGCATTTATTATTGCGATTTTGTCATTTTAGACTAAAATGCGATTTTAATTTTTGCGATATTGAGAAAAATCCTGTTTAATTCATATCAAAAATTTCAAAATGCGAGTTTAAATTTTTGCGATTATAACCCTGTCGCATTTTTCGCAATAATAAAAACATCGCAATAATTTCTGAATTTACAGTACTTAAAAGTGTCCGTGTATCATCTTAAAAGTGTCCGTGTATCATGTAAAAAGTATCCGTGTAACACCCGTTAATGTACTGTTTTCTATAGCTCTGCGAGGAAAGGGGGAGGGGGGTGAAAGTCGTACAACATCTGTTACTGAATTGACCAAGTTTGTGCCTTTCAATACCAGAAACAAAGTATATATTGCATGGCGTGCAATTCATTAACACGTGTGTTCATGTACAGTAGTAAGTTCAGTAAAAAATCTCCCATTGACTTCAATAAAACCTATTACTTGAACTAAATTTATACCTAGTTTACCTGGAGAAATCAGAAGCTTTCATATGTAAATTATTTAAGTACACATGTAGCTCCGTCTTTGGCAACAATAAAAAAACATAGGACCATGCGGCATTTTTGGGCCATTCAAATGGCGTTGTTTACTAACACTAGATTTGCACTCAATTCCTACGCTGACCCCAGTTCTTTTCAATCCTGTAGTAAAAAAATATAGGTGCATTCAGCATTCATTTTTTTTAATTTTTTCAAACTTAGTTTTGTTTAATCTTATCACTCATTATCACGTTATCTAATTGGTGGAGGGTTATCGAGAAAGCTTTTCCCCTAAACGGGCAGTCCTTTGATGATAGTTTTTATCCCTTTTAGGAGAAAACGGTTAATGTAACTTAAAGTAAAAACATGTATTAAACAAAACTTGATATAATACTCATCGGGGTGTGAAAGTTAAAAGTAGGAGTAATATTAATTTTATCGTTTATCTAAAAACTGTTAAATTTCCATATCATATGCATCTTACCAACTACAGTCAACATCTGATTTCCATATATTTCAATATTTAAAGTCAAAACTTTCTTGTCTTTAATGAGAAAAAAAAGAAGAAAGACATTTTTAATAAGTAAAATATTTGTATTGCTTATGTGTATTGCAAGGAGATATTAAACAGAACACATTTTTGTAATAATTTGACATAACAAGAATAAAAAGAAATGAAACTAATGCCCTCCATTTTTAAGTCATTACTTTTTAAACAATCCAAGAAGATAGATAAGACGCTCTAATTAGTTATCGAAGGTACCAGGATTATAATTTAATACGCCAGACGCGCGTTTCGTCTACATAAGACTCATCAGTGACGCTCAGATCAAAATAGTTATAAAGCCAAACAAGTACAAAGTTGAAGAGCATTGAGGACCCAGAATTCCAAAAAGTTGTGCCAAATATGGCTAAGGTAATCTATTCCTGGGATAAGAAAACCTAAGTTTTCCGAAAAATTCAAAGTTTTGTAACAGGAAATTTATAAAAATGACCATATAATTGATTTTCATATTAACACCGAAGTGCTGACTACTGGGCTGGTGATACCCTCGGGGACGAAACGTCCACCAGCAGCGGCATCGACCCAGTGATGTAAATAGTTATCAAAGGTACCAGGATTATAATTTAATACGCCAGACGCGCGTTTCGTCTTCATAAGACTCATCAGTGACGCTCAGATCAAAATAGTTATAAACTTGCATCTGCTTCTTTCTTCTTCGTTTTGGCAATATCTTTACTAATAAAAATACCAAGGTTCATTTTGTTGGCCGTCATCACGCTCATACACATAAGACCATTGACCATTTAGTAGTCTGCATTCCACATCAAGATTTATTTATAGTCTGTGTAATTATTAATAATTAATAGATAATAGCTCCGATAAATTTTTTGTATTTGAAATAAAATTGAGATTGGAAATGGGGAATGTGTCAAAGAGACAAAAACCCTACCAAAGAGCAGAAAACAGCCTAATACCACCAATGGGTCTTCAATACAGCGATAAAAATCCCGCTACCGGAGGCAGGCTTCAGCTGGCTCCTAAACAAAAATGTGTACTAGTTCAGTGAAAATAGACGTCACACTAAACTCCGAAACATATAAATGAACTAAAATTTAAAAAAACATAAAAGACTAACAAAGGCCAAAGGCTCCTGTCATGTAATGTTGTCATTTTAATGTTATATTTAACATTGCCATAAAAACGGGAGGTTTGGCTAGCCACAAAACAAGGTTCAACCCACCATTTTCTTCTTAAAATGTCCTGTACCAAGTCAGGAAAATGGCCATTGTTATATTATAGTTCGTTTCTGTGTGTGTTACATTTTAATGTTGTGTTTCTGTTGTGTCGTAGTTCTCCTCTTATATTTGATGTGTTTACGTCAGTTTTAGTTTGTAACCCGGATTTGTTTTTTTCTCAATCGATTTATGAATTTCGAACAGCGGTATACTACTGTTGCCTTTATTTGTGACAGGCGCAAAAATACTGCGGAGTTAAACATGTTTTGTGAGAGATCTCAACCCTCCCCCTTTACCTCTAGCCAATGTAGAATAAGCAATGTCTTCCTTTGCGTAGTTCTGTTTTAGACTGGCGATGAATCTTAGGCACATCGATATAAAATATATAATTTTTTTGAGGGATTTTTATTTACCTACTTCGTTCAATAATCCTTTCATAACAAGGTACTTATAAGCTGGGCTTGATCTGTGTCTAAAAGGATCATAAATGCATCGCACCAAATACATCTGAAAATCTAGATTAACTATCTACATAAGATATTTACAAAATTATTGCGTGTTAATAGTTTGAATACAGAGAGTCACAAACAGCTACGTTATTATCTGTGAAAGTTACTATGTAAATTTTGTTTTGACATGTTTCAATCTGAATAACAATGTCAAAGGCATTTAGAATAATCCCTGTTACATACCTGACTATAATGCTAAAGATCTGTGATACATGGTTTTTCTTAGATAGTAAGACACACATTTTTGTTCCTATTTTATTTCCTTCAATCAATTGTTTTTAAACCGCAGATATAGATTTTTAGGATTTGCATTTGTTAGGGTGGGAGCGGAGTGGTGTATATGAATTAATTTTTGCTCTCATGACAAATTTCATGTTGAGACATGTTTTGTTCAAGACCTGCTACAAATTAGTTATTTAAATCTAATACGTGTGGTCTTTTATTTCCAAGCTTTAACAATTCATCATGTTTATATCTATATCAGATTATTTCATTATAATTACAAATATACCATCAAAAATAGTCAGCTAATTAACACTGCATACCAGTAACTAGTTTGGTATATATTACGTACATGTACACTTCACAAAGAGTGACAAGGAATGTACATTTTTACATAAAAAAAAAACTTTTCCCTATTTACCTCATTATCTTAACCCAATGTTGACAATAGCTTTTTATAAAAAGAAGTTAAAATAGAGCGATACCAA